TTATAATTTTTGTATTACATATATATATATATATATATATATATATCTATATATATATATATATATATATATATATATATAATTTTTCAATGTATAATATAATCAATAAACATTTTTATTTTAGGATTTTCTTTCATACTATGCAATAAATTTAGTTGTGTTTAGAAACCTTTTTTGATAAATATGAAGTGTGTTCAATAATCACAGTCATCAAAGTCAATATTCACAGAATTTTAAGAACATGAATTACTACATATTTTTCTGCAACAAACCTCTCCAGCACTAATATATCTTTCTGCAAGAAATATTTAATAATAATTAATATACATATTATTAATTAAATTTAAAGCAGCAGAAACGTTGTACTTACTAAGAAAAGCCTATTTGGAAATAATAAAATTGCATGTATTTTTTTAAAATGAATGTGTAATATTTTTTTTATTCTAATATCATGGGCGATATTCTCACATTTTGTAAGCGAAAAACACACTCATTATTTCTTTTTTGGCAGTTGATAAATCATCATCACATAAAAAAAAATGATAAAAAAAAATTCTTAAAATCAGTGAAAGGAAAAAAAAAAAAACAATTTTTTTTTCCTTTTCCCAAAGGGGAATTAAAAAAAATTCACGAGCATTCCGTCCCCTTTGATGTGTGAAAAAGGTATCTCTTATATATTATGTATCTGAGTATAATTGTGGAGGGAAAAAAATCTTTCAAACATTTCTACAGGAAAGAAATTTTGTGCTTCAATATTTTTTATTCTATTCAAATAAGAATCGAAAAATTAAGAACACTTTGTTTCCTTCCGATGCACGAAAAAAGCATCTTAAATATAATATTAGAGAAAAAAATTTTTTAAATTTTTGCAGAAAAGAATACCAAAATTTCTTCCTTTCTAAAAAACGCTACAGAGTTTTTTATGCAAGAACTCTGTAACGTTCTGCAACAATGTTGCAGTAATTCTGCCACGAGGATGGTATGATTATGGCAATGAACATTGTGCACAAGCCCCCTTTACTTCCTAAACTAGCTGGTACCCCTCTATCTGAAGCTAGGTATCCATGTATCATAACAACACTGGTTGATAGTGATTTTGTTAAAAGGATGAACATAGTGATTTCTCAAGCACTTTTCTATAACCCCTCTAAAATAAACCACAAAAGTTGACAACCATTCTTAGATTATTTTTTTTACTTTAGTTCAAGGATAATAAATGCAATTAATTTCTTCTTACTGTGAAAAATCATCAGAACTTCTTAGTTAAATTAGAGCTGAGAACATTGAAGAACAGTTTCTTTATTCCATCCACTTTTTAAAGCTCTAGGACAGGGATGGCGAACCAATGGCACGCGACACAATATTTTGGGCACGCCACCGATCACAATTGTTATTGCACTATGAATTGCCATTACACAAATATCGCACACTATGAAGCATATGTAACAATTGAAGTAAAATTCACAAAAAACAAACAAAATAATAAACAATTATTAATAAAAAAATTAACAATTAATTCTAAAAGAACAATTAATAACCATAAAAAACAAGCTAACAATAAATAACAAGCAAAAAAATTAACAGTCCTGCTTAAACTAATATCTTACAACCTAATACAAGTTATTTGTCATTTAATCTGCAATAACAGAAGTCCCACTGATGCTACTTTAAGTTGAATTACGCGTATAACTGAGACATTGCAAAATGTATTTTCTTTTCAATGTAAATAAAGAGTTTTGAGTTGATAGTATTTAGTATTATTATTTTCTCAATAATCATGAAGTCAAAATTATTTGACGGCACGTCTGTGATTTCATTAAACAATTTTTTAGAAAAAATGGCACGTTGGTGTATAAAGGTTCGCCACCCCTGCTCTAGGATGTAACATGTCCTTAAAAAGTATGCTATTTCTAGAATTACATTTGGTTTTATACCCTGTGCTGTGAAAGATGAACATGAGGAGCAATTCCCCCAAGATATTGCAAACTATAAATGGTGCTTTCAAGGAAAGCGCTTTTCTATAGTCGCAGACTCAAATATTTATTTTTTTTAAGCAATTTACTTAAAATTTGTAATTAATTTGATTTATTTAATAGCAAACATTTAAGGCCATGATAGCCTGGTTGGTAGGGCACTGGGCCCATGTCCTAGAGTTCGTGGGTTCGATCCCTGCAGGCGAAGACTCCTCGCGTAGTATATAATGACTGACGCACATTAAATCTGTCGAGTCGCAAAGTTCTCCATGTTCCCATAACAAATCAATACCTCTGGGGGTACTGATCCAGGAGTTGCCTCGTTTTCGAGATTTGTTCAAAATGACAAGGCTACGGAGTTGAACGTTAGTAGTCGTAAACCCGAAATTGGATCGGCTGTTCGACGACGGATATATAATATAAAATAAACTCAAACATTTAATTAAGATTAAATATAACAGTCCCTTTTGCATATCAGGGGTGATTGTGAGCCCAACTCAAAAATCCTGAAAATTTCTTGATTAAAATCATTAATGATGCATTTCAAAAAATTTTTGTCTTTATAAACTTAAATCATTGATATTTTCAAAACATGAAATTCTAAATAAGTTATATGCAGCAAAATTTAAATGAATAATTCTGTATAAGTTCACTTTTATCTCTTATCACACTTATTATTCTACCAGAAAAAATATTTACGATCCGGTTAGCAAAAAATCCAGAAATCCAGATTTTTTCTGGAGCACAATCATCCTCGGCATGTAGGATTGCTTTACAAATTTTCTTTTAAACAAAAAATAGCAATAAAAGAATAAAAACATTTTTGATTTTTTTGCATAACAGTTGGAATAATAAATCTTTAATTATTGGTTTAATATGTGATTATTTTGTTAATTTTTTTTTTTTTAAAGGGTTTCTTTAACAGAAGAGTGATTCATTGAGAAAACATAAATAAACAAATGAAAACCTTTTTCTTGAGGAGTCCTTCTGGACCGATAACTTTTTCAAATATGTGTTTTCCAACGTGAGAATCCACAGCTGAAAGAGGATCGTCCAGTAGATAAATGTCAGCTCCAGAGTAAACAGCTCTGGCTATGCTCACGCGCTGCTTCTGACCTCCGCTCAAATTGATACCCTGAAAACACACAATATCTTTTTGAATGCATTGTGTTCGAACATTCAATGAAGAAACATAAAGTTAGGAATAGATTAAGTGTTGATATGTTTAGTGTTAATAGCATCTTCTGGAAAACTAGACTCCAATGTGCGTTATGCGTTTGTTCATTTCTCTTCTAATTTATTTTCAGTTTTTAACACAGCATTAGAAATTGGCTCATTGTAAAAAAAGAAATTTAAGCTTTGGGCCAATTCTTTACAGTGGTTAAAATTCTTGAAAATACCATTCACTCCCCCCCCCCAAAAAAAAGGACTTAAATTAATTTCAAGCAATATGCTAAATGAATTTATTTTTATAAATCAATCTCTATACCAAAAATATTTTAACATAACATTACTAGAACAAAATGACTTAATAATAGTTTAATTAATCTTAAATTTAAGAAATGTTAAGTTTGCTTTTATTACTGTAAGAGCAGAAATACTTGAAAAAATGGCATATATATTTTTGTTCGAATTCTTATTAGTTAATGTTAACCATTTTGAATATTATGGAAAATATCACAACAGTTTTATCACGCTTATATGACAGGTTATAATATCATAACTCAATATTGGTCTGCAAATGACAAACATTCATTCTATTATATTACTAAATTTCGAACTTTACAAAATTGAAATGTGTTCTTTTGGATTCTGAGCTGAAATTAATTTTTTTGGCTAAACAGTGACGATCTGCAAACACAAAACATTTATAAATGTTTTATTTTAATACCTTTTCTCCAATTTCAGTATGGATTCCTCCAGGAAGAATTTCCAAGTCAGGTTTGAGACCACAGCATTCAATGACTTCTTCAAAAATCCTTTTCGAAAGAGGTTTTGAAAATAGAACATTGTTTTGAAGAGTAGAATTTTGAATCCACGGCTGCTGGGAAACGTATGCAATGCTGCCCTAAATGAATAAAAGAAGGTTACAAAATCATTATCAAATGATATAAAAATTTAAATTGTTGGAAAAATATCTTTGTAGAAATTTGACCACTATATTGGATTCTAAAATTGCATGAATATGAATTGTGATATTGCATTTTTAAATCGTGTGAATACGAATAGCGATGTACGATTTTTAAACCACGTAAATACCAATCGCAATGTACAACTTTTAAATTAGGTAAATATGAAAATCCGGAGTAGCTGTTTCAAATATTCAAAATGGCAGAAACCTGCCAAACTAAAAGAATCAATTGGCGAATTTCTGCCCATTGGAGAAAGAATCAAATGCATGCAAGCGTCTCGTTATTAGCAAACTTTCTTTTAGAATTTTAGATTGAGTAATTCCGTGAAAATTTCGCCGGATTATAGGTTTTTGATAAGCAAAAGTTCGAGAACCAATGGTCTAAAGAACTGTGGAATACCGCGATATTCCCAGAAAAATCAGATACATTGATCCTAATTTTTAGACCGGAAAGATAATACCCAATACGATCACCCCATGTACCCTAAAAACTATAATGTCGGGATTGTTATTCAGAAATTAACTAGTTCAGTACAAAATAATACTACCTTTTAAGCTTGCAATTTAAACCTTTAAAAGAAAAAGAAAACAAAGTAAAAATATTCCACATAATTTTAACCCTAAATTAAATGAACTCCAAAATAAATGAATTTTAAAATGTAAATAAAATTTGATGATTCTTACATTAACTACCACTTTTCCATGAATTCGTTCCATTTCCCCTAAAATAGCTGAAAGTAAAGAGGACTTTCCAGAACCCACTTGACCCACAACTGCCACCAGAGATTTTTTCTGGACATTCATATTGATGTCCAACAAAATGGATTTGTTTTTACTTGCATCATCAGGATTTGAAATGTCCCAAGAAAATTCGCCACTTTGAATTTGGACAGCATTTCCTGCAAGAAAATAATAAATTTACGTATAATGTGCATCATAAAAAATATTATGTTTAGAGAGAACTAAAAATAAACAGATTTTAAAGTGATGTATACCTAAAACTAAATCACCCAAATCAAGACATTTTTGTCCCTATTCAAAAAACCAGCTTATTCTCAAACTATTGATCGTATAAAATAATTTTCAATTGTTCTCTATTAGTTAACTTTATGATGACTAAAAATTTCATAAAAAGTTCAAATGTCATAGATCTAAAAACAGAATATATATATATATATATGTGTGTGTGTGTAAAGTTAAAAATATAAAGGAATGCATGGAAAATTAATGAAAAAAGAAAAATTATTAAAATAAAAAAATATTTAAAATATTTTTTAAAAAAAAATTTATTCTATAAAAAAATTAAAGCCAGAAAAACAAAATAATGAAGAGATGTCATCAACTCACACGATTATATTCCCATAATTGAGTGCTTTAAAAAGGAACGAGATTTCATTATTTTGTTTTTTGGGCATTTTAATTATATATATATACATATATATA